TTGTCTTTGTCTTCCTCTCTAATTAACTCATCTTCACTGCCAAAAAGTACACAAGATTCCGGTCTTTCAAATCACCTAAATTCAAAATAATTGGTTGCAGCCAAAAACTGCTCAGTTTATTTTCTATTTGAAGCCTGATCAACTCTCTCAGTCTAGAATATTTATTAGTTTGAGTGAACATTATTAGTTCAAGTTTAAAAGAAAAAGCAGTAGGTTTCTTCAGGGAGTTATCAGTATTTGCATGACAAATTAATTGGCTCCAGGAACCTTGGTGAGAAGATAGCCTAACTTCTGGCAGCTTGTGAATCTGATTGATTGAGCCACTGAAGGCATGAATTTATGAATCAAGCCTTTCCTGTGACCTGTTTAATGGTCATAAGCACCACGCCACCAGTGAGATAAATGTAATAAAAAGACAGAAATGACTTGTGTCATTTAAAGCACTTGAATGCAAACTGATTTTCCTGCTTTTAGAAAAGTGATCTGTCATGTACCGTAACAAGTTGGTTACAGTTGTTAAGTGCTGGAAACTCAGCAGCATTTTCTCACAGCAGAGAATAACAGCAATCAATTTCTACAGGCAGAACATTTACATAAGTCTCATGCCATCTCTCCTAGAACCCACAGCAGCTCCTGAATACCAGCAAACAATTTCCAGCTGCAGCCATGAAGATACATAATCATTATTAGCTACTGCTGCTTGATAAAATGCACATAGGAAAATACCTTTTTATAAATGTTTTCCTGATTTTTATTATTAATGCTACTTATATGAAACTTTATAATATGCAACCTCAGATACTCCACAACACTTGGTATACAAGTACGTTACAGCATAGAAATTTCAAAACAGTTATATGTCATACTTTTCAATTAGGTGTGTGATTATTACCAAGAAAATTGCAAATATCTCCTTTTAAGATTTAAGTTCTTACAAGGATACTTGATGTGTGGCAGTCATCAGATTCCACTGCATATTACATAATGTGTGTAATGGGAGAGGAAATATTTGCATCTCCATGCGCCTGATTTTCAAAGATAACATAAGGGAAGAGTTTTTCTAGTTACTATCAACAACCTGCAGGCTTCCTTTCATCAGAAACTAACTGGACTTGTCGTATTAAGTACTGAGGTTACAAAAGTGGGCCAGAGGCTAGGAATGCTGTTGCAAGCAACTTACCTCCTGATTCCCCAAAGGCACAAATCCCAATAACTGAACAATGGAAACAGCCAGTAACTGCAAGTTTGCATTGATGGCAACAGAATTTTAATGAATCCTTAGCATTCCTCACCAAATTGTTTTTGTACATCATATCTATTTGATTTTTAGAAATATAGAGGCTGTCTGAGCAATCTTGTGCATTTTATTTGCTTACGATTTATAATCATGCCTGTAATGCTTTTCAGCTTCATTTGTAATAAACTATAATTCAATCATAACAAGTTTGAGTCAGTTTGAAATTTGTGTTTTGTATTAAATAGTCATTATTTCATGTTTCTTGCTTCTCACATGAAATAAATTTTCTCATATTTGATTTCTAGTTCAAGTCTTATCTATGCACATGTAACATGGCACTGTCCCAGACTTTTGCTGTAATTGTACGTGTTCCAGAATATCCTGTTAGACTCACCGTTGTCTTCTCTACTCTTCACTACACACTGTGGCAAGTGTGAACTGATAAGAGCACTGTGAAGTTGAAAGGGCACCTGGGACCGTGATCAACAATCTAATAGATGGAGAAAGGAGTCATAGATCTACAGCACAAAACAAGGCCCTTTGGCCCATTCAGTCTGCACCAGTCAAAAACAATCACCTAACTATTCTAATCCAATTTGCCAGCACTTGGTGCTTAGCTTGTAAGTCCCGACATTACAAGTGCACATTTAAATAATTCCTAAGTGTTATTAACATTTCTGCCTCTACCCACCCTTGCAGGCAGTGAATTCCACAAATCCACCACTCTTTGGATGAAAGTTTTTTCCTCCCATCTACTCTAAACCTTCTGCCCTTTACATTTAATCTATGCCCCTTAGTCACTGATCTCTCCAAGGAGGAAAAAGCTTCTTGTCTTCCCTATCTATGCTCCTCAATCATGTCCTCTCTCAATCTTCTCTGCTCTAAGGAAAACCCCTTGTTTCCCACCTGGGGACCCTGCAGCCTCCTGGACTCAATATTGAGTTCAATAACTTTAGGGCTTGACTTCTCCTACATCCTAACCCTCACCCGTACACACCAGGCCTTTGGTGATCACAGTCTGTTATTACACACACTAATCGTCTCCATTAACAGCTATTCACCCTCCTAGCCAGATTGATATCCACACCTTTGTCTGTTCTTTTGTCTCTTTGGCTCCCCACCCCCCGCCGCCAATCATTTATTCTCCTCCTCCTCCCCCCCCACCCTATCTTCTGCATAACAACCAACATTTTCCTAGCTACCATCAGTGCTGAGGAAGGGTCACTGGACCTGAAATCTTAACTCCGATTTCTTTTCATAGATGCTGCCAGACCTGCTGAGCTTTTCCAGCAATTTCTGTTTTTGTTTCTGATTTATAGCATCTGCAGTTTTATTGGATTTTATCTGGTCTGTCCAATTTCCCTTCATAAGTCTCTTAAGGATAATATTTCCTCACATTTGATAAAATTTCAGTTATTCGCAATAGGCAGCATGGCTTTGTGTAGAGAAGGTAGTGTCTCACAAACCTGATGGTTTTTCAAGAAGTGACAGAAATGATTAATGAGGGGAGGGTGGTAGATGTCTGTGTGGCCTTTGACAAGGTTCCCTCATTGCAGGCTGATACAGAAGGTGAAGTCACATGGGATCTGCAGTGAGCTGGTAAGACCGATACAGAACTGGCTTAGTCATAGAAGACAGAGAGACAGTAGAAGGGAGATCTGTGACCAGTGGTGTGCTGGGATCCCTGTTGTTTGTCATTATATATGTAATGATTTACAGGAGAATGCAGGTGGCCTGATGAGTAAGTTTGCAGGTGACACAAAGAGTAGGAAACTGTGGATAGTGAGGAGATTGCCAGAGGATACAGCAGGATATATTTAGGCTGGAGACTGGGGCAGAGAAATGGGAGATGGAGTTTAATCCAGACAAATGTGAGATGATGTATTTTGGAAGCGCTAATGCAGCAGAGAAGTGTATAGTAAATAGCAGAACTCTTACAACATCAACATACAGAGCGATCTAGGCATGCAGGTGCGTAGCTCCCAGAAAGTGAGAACAAATGTAGATAAAAGTGGTCAAGAAGGCATATGGCATGCTGGCCTTCATCAGTCAGGGCATCGAGTACAAAAATTGGCAAGTTGTGTTGCAGCTAAGTAGAAGTTTGGTTGGGCCACATTTGGAATATCATGTATAGTTCTGGTCGCCATACTATCAGAAGGATGTGGAGGGTTTGCAGAGGATACAGAAACAGTTTACCAGGATGTTGCTGGGTTTGGAGGGTATTAGCTATGAGGAGAGATTGGACAAACTTAGTTTGTTTTCACTTGAACTTCAAAGGCTGAGCGTGATCTGATGGTTTACAAAATTATGAGAAGCGTGGATACAATGGATAATCAGAGTCTTTTTCCCAGGGTAGAAATGTCAATTACTAGGGGACAAAGGTTTAAGGTAAAAGAGAGAAAGTTTAAAGGAGCGCGAGAGGCAAGATTTTTAAACAGAGGGTGGTAAGTGCCTGGAACGTGCCGCCAGAGGTGGTGGTGGAGGAAGATACAATGGCAACATTTAAAGAGGCATCTTGACAGAAATATGAATAGGTAGGTAACAGAAGGTTACAGACAGTGGGAAGCAAAAGATATTTAGTTTAGAAACACACCATGTGTCGGCAGAGACTTGATGGACCGAAGTGCCTGTTCTGGTGCTGTACTGTTCTTTGTTCGTGAGCTCAGGCAACTTCTTGGTAAATCTGAGATAGTAAGAACTGCCGATGCTGGAGTCTGAGATAACACAGTGTGGAGCTGGAGGAACACAGCAGGCCAGGCAGCATCAGAGGAGCAGGAAAGCTGACGTTTTGGGTCAGGACCCTTCTTCAGACCCTTATGAAGGAAGGTCCCGACTCGAACCGTCAGCTTTCCTGCTCCTCTGATGCTGCCTGGCCTGCTGTGTTCCTCCAGTTCCACACTGTGTTATTCTTGGTAAATCTCATCTGTGCACTGGAGAGGGTGCAATGTAGATTCCAGAACTGCACACAATACTCTAGTTGTGGCATACCAATGTTTTATACTATTCCAGCAGAACATCCCTGCTCTTAAACTCTATGCTTCAACTAATAAAGACAAGTATTCCTTACACCTTTTTAACCACTTTAACCACCTGTTCCGATATTTGAATAGGATAGGAGTATGAAATGAGGAAAAAAGGAAAAAGAGCTGAGAGAGCAACAAAAAACTGAATGGGAGAACAGGGAAGAAAATAAAAATTTTAGTAATCAGCAATAACAATTTACTATCTCAGGAATGAGATTCCAGTTTCTGCTGCTCCTTTATTGGCCAAATAAACTGTACGGCATTGCAGAAATATTTAAAAAAATCATCCTTAAAAAGTGCAACCTGAAATTAGTGCAGAGAGTTTAATTTATTCTTACTACACAAATTGGCAATTTTTGGAAAATCACAGACGTTGACATTAAGCTGTTGTACCAGTTAGCAACCCACAGCACTTCTCTTTCCATAAATTGCTGGCTCTGACGATGGTAATAATGGTAAATATTTTCCCAACACATTTTCGACCATATTTTAATTCTATTTCTTTGTCCTGTAAATAATGATAGTAAGGATAGAATTAATCAAGGCTGATTCCTCTATTCTTGTCAGCTAACAGCAAGTCAACTATTAATGAGGAGTTTGCAGTTCCTTTCCTCAAAACTGTCAAAACAACAGTCTTTTATCCCTTAGTTGTTTGTGTAATGACAATAACTGGTAAATTACAACAATAGCAATTTGAAGCACTTGGTGGAATAGGAGACAAATAAATTGCCATACAAGACTTTACGTTTACAACTAATATTTTTATTTCAACTGTTCTTTTGAATTGCAAAAGAATAAAGCAAATCCATTTCTTAATAGTTTTAATTACTGTATATGGCTTTTGCATTTACAGTTGACATAAAAACAATTCAATTACTGAATGTTGGAATTGCCAGAAAACAAAAATTGAAAATATTTTTCAATGAAAACAACATGGTCAAAAGTCTTAAGTTTCCAAACAATGATAAAATGGACTGTGGCTTTTTTTCTCCCTTGCCGTTAATTATTCACCTCTGAATTTCCCATCCATCAGCATTCGAATAATGTTTTACAATATATAATCATAAGCAAGTCAATGTACAGATAGCAGAAAAATAGTCCATCGTGTACCCCAAGCCAACAGATTTTTCTTAGTTGATGGTGAAATTTCCAAACTTTCCAAATTGTAAATGGTCCTAAATAATACTAAAAAGAACACACTGGGGATATGCAATTATAGAAAAAAAAGACTGACAGTATCATTTGGGTAAAACAAAGAGGCCTTCATCCTGATGAATAACATGTAAGAAAGAAACTTTATTCTATAGCATTAATAATTCTGCAAAGTAAATATCATAAATATAACAGCTAAAAACCCCAAAAATCTGTGAAGTATAATGATCTTCAAACATGAAATTGTTTTCATAATATCTTAATACATTTATATTTAAGGCACAATAATACCTGCACAGAGCAGACAATGGTAGCTTGAAACAATAGACTCGACTGATTCAGCTGCATTATTCCATTCTTGAGAACTGAACACTAATATTACAGAATTAACACCAGTCACACAGTGCACTTAATGCAATTGCATGTAATCTCTAATATTATTTTGTATTCAATGGGACAGAATTATCTGTGAACAAAAATTACTGCACATGTAAATTCCATTTTGTTGATGCTTATGATTTTCTTGATAAGAATAAGAATCCTCATTACATTTGAATTGAAATGCTAGAGCGCCTGAGGAATGATTAATCATCAATGCTGGGGGCAACTACTTTTAAAAGATAATTATTCTATTTTATTGACATTATGAAGTAGTCAACTCTTGTTTGCAATGTTTAAAATCAGATCATCTAAATGAAATAAAATGGAATTAAAACTTGACTGTAGAAATTATTTTTCATTTCTTAAAAAAAGGGAAAAGTTCTGTATATAGTTGGAAATGAACACTGTACCAAGAAGAATGAAATAAATGTGAACTACATTGTTTAAGGTACAAACAACTGACCTTCTGGTTTTCTATAAATGACCTAGATTTTGTCAATATAACTCAATACTTGTTACATTTAATACCACTTTTGCCTTGGAACATTACTTATACAACAATAATCTCGATACCACAGGATCAAGTTAACTGTTCTGTTTAGAAATGTTTGAGAGAATGTATTCAGCTAAACAGTTGCCTGGAATATAAAACAGCACTGCAGCATTATAACACAATTAAATTTCTGGTTAAATGAAACAAAATGACAAGTGAACTGAATCATTTTTAGTGGTTAGAGATTTGATCTTAAATGTGCATTGTCTCACGATTAGTAGGTCAGTATACTTTTAAGAGAGATTCTCATTATATTGCAATCCCAGCATTGACATACTAACCGTGAGACACAGCACAATAAAACCTAAAAATATTCTGCTTCCATAACTCAAAGCTACAATATCTTCTAATATCCAAAATCAAACAATAACTTACTTCATGGTGGGTTTTTGAACCTTTTACTTCAATTCAACTTTTGATTCAATTGAGTTGAATTAAACTTTCATACACTGATAGAAGATGTCAGTACATCTGAAATACTACAAAGTATTAATAGTTTTAATACATTTTTATATATAATGTACTAGTACTCCAACATTATGCCTGTCAGTATACAATTTACACTCTCCCGCAGGCTTTCATTTTTGATGTCATGTATACAGGTGAAGAAAACAAAGCACGCAATTGCCACATCTCCCATTAATTCAATGAAGAATAGATTTAGAGGAGATCTAGAATCAGGGAAGCTGTTTGTCCTGATGGTCATTAAGCGCTGAGTGAATACATTGGGAGTTCCCCAGGGCAAGGCAAAACTACAAAAACAGAAGGCAGTGAGTAATACAGGGATAAGAACTGACTAAAAATATGATGCTTAAATCTCCAAAACAAAAACAAAATCAAACTAAAATAAATAGTTACTACTAAATCCCCATAGTTATTACTCAAGATTCACAATTGTAAAGTGCAGATTTCTGCCTCCATAGCTTTCATCTCTTCACAACTGCACTGGGTAAGTACACAATGTGACGTGTGAATTGAACAACAAGTCAATAAAGCCGACATATTTCACATCATAGCACATGCTTCTAATGCCGAACTATATGCTGCAAGGCTACTGTAAAAGCATGAGGCAATTGCTCAGTGAGACATGCAACGTTTGTTACTTCAATAAATGGAACATTCTCCCTTCTGTATCCTTCACAAACGTCTGAGAACACATAACAATATAGCAATTACACTTGCTGTATTTACATGTTATACATTGCAAACCTACAGAAAACAAGGCTGAAGTAATCCTGGATTCACATTCTGCCTCACACCATATATTACAGTCTTGTACAGTAAAGATATTTTCTTTTGACAAAGGATAGTCAGTACATACACCACAGTTTATCCACTTTACAGCCATGAGTGACATGTCAGTAATTGTTTTGATGAAAAATAATTTTAAAAATTACTTCACGAATAAAAGTGTTTAAAAAAATGCAACAAGCAGTGCCAGAACTCAGTAAACTATTTACTGAGAAGGTGACATCTTTTGTGAAACCTGGTGCATCCAGTGGCACATTTGCAAAGCTTTAGGTGTGATGCTGGTGCTCCTGGGATACATTTGTTTAAAAAGAAACCTGCTAAAAGCCTGGGTGGCCAATGGTAACGACACTGTGTTAGTGCATTCTCTAGGCCTGAGGTTGGTGCCTGGTCCCATCCTCTGTTAAATCATACCTGCAAGGTAAATACACAAAATTACATTGCAAATGCTGTATCTGATTGTGTTATAACAAAAAAGTTCTCAAATACTATTTTCTTCACCCTATGGAATATCACAAAAAATGAAAAAAAATTCTGATCTTTGGTTTACTGAGGCCAATCTAAGAATTTGAGAACAGTGAAATGAGACTTACTGGAATCAACAACAGGAGCTCAGTCACTGCACAAAACTAGATTGCGTCCCACAGTATGATGACAGGCAAACTGAATATCGTCTTTAATGACACATCAGGACACATGATGGCACAGGAGGGCACAGGAGGGCATTTGGTATATGGAATCCATCACAGCTGTCTGTCAAGCACTTAAGTCTGTCCCATCTCTCCACTCGACCTCAGTAATCTTCCAAATTTATACCCCTTAAATGCCCATTCAATTTCCTTTTGAAGTCATCGATCATCTCCAGTTCCACCAACGTCAGAGGCAGCAGGTTCTAGGTCAAGGGTATCAGAGATAGTAGGAACTGCAGATGCTGGAGAATCTAGAGCTGGATGAACACAGCAGGCCAAGCAGCATCAGAGGAACAGGAAGGCTGACGTTTCGGGCCTAGACCCTTCTTCAGAAAATTTTCTGAAGAAGGG